TTTTTTTTGTTGTGTTTAATTAACTGTAGTTCCACGAATTTTATGGTCGACGTAATTCTTGAAGGTGACCTTCAAGGATTGTTTGCGGTAAAATGTGCACCGGGGGGGGGGGGGGGGAGGGATATAACATCATACACTGATCATTCACTGTATGTTAGTTGGATGTTCATGTGCGTATATTTCGTATGCGTGTTGGTGTATATATATATATATATATATATACGTGTGTACTCACCTAGTTGTCACCTAGTTGAGCTTGCGGGGGCTCAGCTTTGGCTCGTTGGTCCCGTTGGGTGTGTGTGTGTGTGTGTGTGTGTGTGTGTGTGTGTGTGTGTGTGTGTGTGTGTGTGTGTGTGTGTGTGTGTGTGAGCAAGAGAGAGAGAGAGAGAGGACGGGGAAGAGACCTTTTAAGTGTCACTCAGCCGACCACCTGGACCATACACACTCAGCTTGCTATCTAGGATAACTACTTTCAAAGGTATAATGTATGATGGGCGTTGATAACCATCTTTAATTATGATAGCTGTTTGAGGCACGTTATTGATGGGAGACTAAACAAGAGAATCCGGAAGGCTGTTGTGTAAATTAGAGTTAGAACCAAAAAAGTAGCTTTTGTGGGGGGGGAAGAGACGGCCGTGAGCCGTCGAAATTTAACTGTGGGTGAGTAGAAAAATAATGTATTAGCTCTTGATTTACCCGTTGGCAATTTCAAGAGTGCTTCTACTCTCACAGCCTGGTCCGGTAGGGAAGCGATACCTGGTGATTGTCTGGCGAGTGAAGCTGTTTGTCCATATAGCAATCACAGTCTGATTGATTCTGCAACTCGAGCACAAGGTGTTTCAGTTCTCTCTCTTGAAAGCTGCCACTGTTGATCCAGAAACATTTCTTATTTATGTTGGCAGAAATTTGATGAGTTGTGGATGTAATTTTTTGCTGAATTGTGAATGAGACATTTTTTTATGAAAACGCCAAAGGGAGTTTGAAGAGACGAGTTCGTTACTGCTTTAGATAGTCTTACTGAGCGGTTGGGATGACAGTTTAATTTGCGTTCGTTAAAGACTCGGTTCAGCTACCGAATTGGTGTTGAACAAGGCGGTTCGAACCGTAATGTAAATTAGAAGCGGAAATTAGTGAGAAACGGTAATTAGACAATTAATTTGCGCAAGGGCTCAATTCACACATATAATATCCTTCTGTGTTTGGGTTGTGGCTCGTCCCTAACCGCTAGTCATCATCATGATGACTAACGTCATGATGTCATCATCATGATGACTAACGTCATGATGTCATCATCATGATGACTAACGTCATGATGTCATCATCATGATGACTAACGTCATGATGTCATCATCATGATGACTAACCGTTCATCTACAATAAATGATGTAGCTGTTACATCAAGTCATGGGATTCATATACCTTGCCATGTCCATATTTTTGAGTATACACTCTATGTTCGTTAGTGTGTAATTATCTAAGTGTAATTACCTAAGTGTAGTTACAGGATGAGAGCTACGCTCGTGGTGTCCCGTCTTCCCAGCACTCTTTGTCATATAACGCTTTGATTTGTGTGTGTACTCACCTATATGTACTCACCTATATGTGCTTGCAGGATCGAGCTCTTGGATCCCGCCTTTCTAGCTATCGGTTGTTTACAGGTGTTTGTTTGTTGCTATCGGCTGTGTGTGTGTGTGTGTGTGTGTGTGTGTGTGTGTGTGTGTGTGACTTTCATTCCCTGCCTTCACTATGACAATGTAATCGCCGGGACAAGTAGTTTTGGGTCACATCACCATTGCTCCAGCGGGCCAAGTCAAGTGACCTAAGGGGTAGAGGAGTCCTCTACCCCTTAGGTCACTTGGGAGTGACCTAAGTCCTGAGGAGTCCTCCAGGCTGCAGTCGGGTTTTGGGGCGCTCACCCGTGAAGGGCGACACCCCACTGGTCTTAACCGCCATGGACGTTTGGTAACATGTTTGGTCAATATAACTTATGATGTTTTTTGGACTTTTATTATTTTGCTGTCCGAGTTATTGAGTTATAATTTGTGTTTAGCTTCATGTTTTGCTTTTTTTAAGTCATTTTTTTACGTGCAAGACAGATGTATGGCAGGTGTTTTATTAAATTAACTAACTTATTATTTTAGTAACTAACTCATTATTTTAGATTTTGACTTTGATCCTGTTTACTTTCAAATCAGATTAGCCAAAATGCGTTTTTTTTATGTTGTGTTAGCAGTCAATCAACTGAGTATAACCGGAGTACCTTAATTAATTTAATGTAACAACATTGCTATACAAAACGGAGATAGTAGATAGATAAACGAAGATAGGTAAACGAAGCTATACTAATCAGAAGAAGAGCATCAAACTTTATGGAATGATTCGAAAAAACGGTGAGGCAATCTAGGTCTATGATATCATGAGATACTTTAAAGAATAAGGAATGATGGAGGATGTGGAATGTTTCTTATTATCACCAAATACGTGTGGAATGATTACTTAACTGTTCAAGATATTTATATTTCTGGAGTTAAAACCTGAATTTTTTTTTCTGAGCATCGGTAGAAGACGTCTGATTTCAGTTTTTATGTCTTCTTATACTTAGCCCTCACGCGGTTCCTTATCCAGCCCTCACGCGGCTCCTTATCCAGCCCTCACGCGGTTCCTTACTTAGTCCTCCCCTAACAAGAGCAGAATAGGATAACAGGAATAGATTCAGGATAAATGTCCCCCAAAGAGTGTCAGTGACAACCTACAGTGATCACAGATCGAGCTCATTTATCCCAGTGGCTGGGATAAATGAGTCTCTACTTTCCCTTAACCCCAAGAAGGAAAGTAGAGACATAGAGAACACAGTGTTATGAAATGATAGAGAGGAACTCTATGGTTGACTACCTCGGGGTATTCAAGAACACCAAGAACACCAGAAGGGATCCTTCATCAGAAGAACACTAGAAAGAGAACACCAGAAAGGGATCTACCAGTTGGACTTGCAATGGTCTTCAGTCATACTGAGATGGTCATTGAGAACATTGATCCTGAAATTAGCACTGATGGGCCAGTGAACACACATGTGTTTTAATATGTCAATGTGTCGTGTAAATGAGGGCTAGAAGAAGATTGAGAGAGAGTGGAAGTTCTTCCCATCAGGTGATAGGAAGAAATCTTCTGCCTCATCTTCTGGCTGACCCAGTAAGAAAGAATTGAAGGCTGGAAAGAATTGAAGGCTGGCATACAGTGTGGGGGATAACTCCTGACCAGAGGGTCAGAAAAGAGAGAAAACCCCATGGGGAACTCAGGGGTCAAATAAACAAAGGCCATGTTTGACCACACAAGAACGTCAGTTATTCACAATTGCTCAGCCCTCGAGGGTTCAGGGATCAGTCAGGCAGCAAGCCTCTGGGTTTTCTTAGATTTCCCTCGGTGTTATTTTTGGTGGACAAGCATCACTGACTCTCTATATACTAGTCATTATTTTGCTTACATAGCTTATGATACTCATGATACTCTGCTTTCTTATTTATATTCACTATTCCCACTCCAGTTCCCGTAATAACCCCAGTGATGATGGTGAAAATTATTTTTCTGAGAATGTGAGTTTCTTGTATTTCAAACCCTCTGCGACTAACAGCATCCCGTTTCTTCTGTTCCGCTGTTATATTTTTTTCCTGTTGATCCAGGAGCGTTGGTTAGGAAATCGGACAAATGCAAATATCTCTGTTGGCTTTGGCTATACAATTGCTATAACATCAGGATTTGATTAATCGACGAATTATTTCAGCTCATATACTTTGTTGAATATAACATCAGCAATAATAAACAGGTGCTAAAGCTCTTTTTTCTTACTGTTTCCTATATATATGCCTTCGTAGACAGAAGAAAATACATAAACAGAGAGATAGATAGAAAGAAAAAGAAATTGGATAAAGAAGAGGGGGAGAAAGATGGGGAGAGGAATAAGGAGTAGGAAAATGAGGAGTCTGATTTTCTTAGAATTTTTCCAGTTTACTCGTATATTATTTTGGATCTGAACATCTCTGGTTGTTATGAAACTACATCTGGTGAACTGTGCTCCGTTTTCTCCTTAAATACACATTTGAGTTCCATGTGTAACTCAAATATTTCTTCCTTCCAGGCAACAGTTTTCTTGTTTAAATTTATATAATGGAGTGACTTTCTCCTCGAGTGCGTGTGAGGGCGTGTGAGCTTACTAATTAATACACTTAACCTTCAAAAATTATAGTACTTATAGCTACTATGTGGTCAAACGTAGCAATATGCACTGTTGGGTGTCCGAAAAAATTATGGCCTGTATAACTTAATTCGCCCAAATGGCATTCTAGAAAATGGGAAATTTAACTAAAGAGCTTAACCTAATTTGTCTGAGCAATCTTAGACCTAATACACACTCTCCTAGGCCTAATACAATACAAAATATGTAACAGACTAGGCCTAGAAATGTTTAAGATTGGCTTTTAACTTTTTCTGTTTAACAGAACAAACCGTGAACTTGTTTAAGCTCCAAAGTACTACTTTGGTAGTTTCGACCCGATAGTTACTATGAGTACTATCGCCTTAGGAGGTTGAGATAATGATGGGTAATAGTGGATATAGGGGGGTAAATTGAGGTCTATAAACCCCCTAATGCTGCCCCCTGATGTACCTGTTTCGTCATCTTTAACCCATTCTCAAGTTCAAATTTTCGTCACTGATGCTGGCCTTAAAGTTGTGGATGGAGATGGCTTTTAAAACTTCTTATTTCAGTGTCATTCCACCTTATTGATCCACCCTTACAGGGTATGAGTATTTTCATACATTTCTGCGAGTAAGCTTTTCGATTTCATTACATTTATCTTTAAATCTGTAATGTACGTCATTTCTAATTAAATTCTACCCCATGACCCCCTCCGGAAATTATATCCTCCTATCTCCCCATAAATGAACACCCGTCTATCCCTCGCCCCGTTGTATCCACGTGTATCAATGTTTACTTTCTGCCGCAGGATGGGACGGTTGGTCGGACTGGTCTGGATGCAGCGCCTCGTGCGACGGTGGCACCCAGGAGAGGAGAAGGTAGGTGGCACCTATATATATATATATATATATATATATATATATATATATATATATATATATATATATATATATATATATATATATATATATATTTGAATAGGTAGGTTCATGAAAAACATGAACCTATTCATATGAATAGGTAGGTGATGAAAAACTATGTCCAAGATTACCATCAATGTGCCGTCGGGGTGGTGGTTCAAATAGCTTCGGCTATCATCACTTTTTGTACGGTCACTGATGGTCGAGTGGTTTAAGTTACCATGTACCCCAGTTGCAATGTGCTCCTGGCTGTCCGGGATCGAGTCATTTCTGGGGTGTGTTTTCATTCGCATATATGCTTATATATATATATATATATATATATATATATATATATATATATATATATATATATATATATATAATATAAAACACCCTTTCGATGTGTGACTGAAAGGGGTGAGATGAGATTAATGATTCTAACAAGAATCTTCAGTATTTTCCTTACATTTTTCTGCACTTGAATATGAAGTTGAAATATTAACCCTCCAAAGCTCACTTGAATAGTTTTATTTGGCCTGACACTAAGAGTTGCGTTTCGTTAACTCTTGTTAACATTGTCAGAGGCAAACTTATGGAGTGAGTATACCGAGAAAGAGAACTTATGGAGTGAGGATAACGAGAAAGGGGAATTTAATATTGAAATTTGGTGTTTGAGTCAGCTTTGCAACATTGCTGAATTGTTTGCAATTGAATGTGACAGCTGCAGAATTTTGATTAAGTTGAGCAACGGATTATGCGATAAATCATTTCCATAATGTTAAAATGGAATTAAATTTTGTTACGTATCTAGACAATGTCAAAACCATCGTCGGAAAGTGTCAATTTCAGCCGCTTATTATTGGGTTCCTGGACAACTTAACCAATTTTTTGTTTACAAAAATACACGTGTGTCCGCACATGCATACTTATGCAAGTACACACGAACGCGTGCACATTAACACACACACACAGGCAAACGCGCGCGCGTGCACGCACACACACACACACACACACACACACACACACACACACACACACACACACACACACACACACACACACACACACACACACACACACGTTCACACGGGACCAAAGAGCCAGAGCTCAACCTCCGCAAGCACAACTAGGTGAACAAATCCACAAGGGCCGAGACGAGGATTCGAACCTACGTCTGAGAGCATCCCAGACGTTGCCTTAATCGAATGAGCTACGACATGGTAAAAAAATTGCAACCAGAAATTCTACTGAATTTACTTGGATCCTGCAGCCTCTCCGAGACACAAGCCAGGATTTTGCACAATTCCCCTGGTTTGTGTCTCGGAGAGGCTGCAGAATCCAAGTAAATTCAGTAGAATTTTTGGTTGCAATTCTTTTACCATGTCGTAGCTCATTCGATTAAGGCAGCGTCTGGGATGCTCTCAGACGTAGGTTCGAATCCTCGTCACGGCTCTTGTGGATTTATTCATTTGATACATCACGCTATTGTGATTTCTGTGTGTAACAACTAGGTGAGTACACACACACACACACACACACACACACACACACACACACACACACACACACACACATAGGTGTGTGTGTGTGTGTGTGTCAGGGGTATTGACAAGGTAGACAAGGATAAACTATTCAACACGGGTGGTACGCGAACAAGGGGACACAGGTGGAAACAGAGTACCCACATGAGCCACAGGGACGTTAGAAAGAACTTTTTCAGTGTCAGAGTAGTTAACAGGTGGAATGCATTAGGCAGCGATGTGGTGGAGGCTGACTTCATACACAGTTTTAAATGTAGATATGATAGAGTCCAGTAGGCTCAGGAATCTGTACACCAGTTGATTGGCGGTTGAGAGGCGGGACCAAAGAGCCAAAGCTCAACTCCTGCAAGCACAAATAGGTGAGTACACACACACACACAGTAAGGGGCGAGAAGTCGGACTGGCGAACAGTAACAAGTGGAGTACGTCAAGGATCGTTGCTGGGACCAATTCTATTTCTAATTTACGTAAATGACATGTTTACAGGAGTAGAATCCTACATTGTCAATGTTCGCGGATGAAGCAAAGTTAATGAGATGAGTTGTGACTGATGAGGATTGTAGGATCCTCCAAGAGGACCTGAACAGGGGTGCAGAGATGGTCAGAGAAATGGTTACTAGAATTCAACACGAGGAAATGTAAAGTTATGAAAATGGGATCAGGTGATAGGAGACCAAAGGGACAGTACACAATAAAGAGGAACAGCCTACCTGTGACGATTCGAGAAAGAGACCTGGGAGTGGACGTAATACCTAATCTAACTCCTGAGGCACATATAAATAGGATAACGACAGCTGCGTACTCTACACTGGCGAAAGTTAGAACATTATTCAGAAACCTAAGTGAGGAGGCTTTTAGAGCGCTTTACACTGCCTACGTGAGACCAGTCTTAGAGTATGCCGCGCCATCATGGAGCCCCCACCTGAAGAAACACATAAAGGAACTGGAAAAGGTTTAGAAGTTTGTGACGAGGCTCGTCCCAGAGTTACGAGGGATGGGATATGAAGAACGTCTGAAGGAAGTGAACCTTACGACACTAGAAAAATGAAGGGGGAGAGGGGGGATATGATATTAACGTATAAAATACTCAGGGGAATTGACAAAGTGGAAATAGACGAAATGTTCGAGCGGAATACTAACAGAACGAGGAGACATGAGTGGAAGCTGGAAACTCAGATGAGTCAGAGATGTTAGGAAGCTTTTACTTTGTAGCGTAAGAGTAGTGGAAAAATGGAATACACTTAAGGAGCAGGTTGTGGAAGCAAATTCAATTCATAATTTTAAAATTAGGTATGATAGGGAAATGGGACAGGAATCATTGCTGTAAACAACCGATGGCTAGAAAGGCGGGATCCAAGAGTCAGTGCTCGATCCTGTAGGCACAAATAGTTGAGTACAAATTAGTGAGTACACACACACACACACACACACACACACACACACACACACACACACACACACACACACACACACACACACTTATGGCGGCTGTCCATTCAGCATCGTGGCTGAGTGGGTTGCGGCTGCTGCTACAACTTGTAGCCACAGAGACATAAGAAATGAGTTTTTCAATGTCAGAGTAGTTAACAAATGGAATGTATTGGAAAGTGATGTGGTGGAGGCTGACTCCATACACAGTTTCAAATGTACATATAACAGAACCCAGTAGACTCAGGAACCTATACAATGGTCGATCGAGAGTTGAGAGGCGGGATCCAAGAGCTGCAGCACATCTCCCGCAAATATAAAGTAGGCGAGTGCAGATGTGCACACACATACCATATTAACATGACTATGATTGTATTCAGTCAAAAAACAGTACTTTTTTATATTTTACATTTTGTTTGTTTCATTCTGTGTTTTAGCAATGTGGTAGCGTTTGTTCGTTGCAACATAGTTCTTCACCGATCAAGAGAGTAATGCATAACAGAAATGTCAGCACTGTGGAGAAATGCTGACAGACCACTGGAACATTATCTAACACAGTGCACAGCTACAAACCCAATAAGATTTCAACTTTGATTCCACAGAGCAGAAGTTGTTAAACACGTGGAACAAAATCTTACTGAAGCAACCATACGAGTCATAAATACTCAAACTCCGCCCAAGTAAAACAGAAACAAGCAACACTTAGTGGGCCAGCCAGAGGCTTAGGGCCCGCGGAGGAATTTCCCTGAAAAAAAATAATTAAAAAGTGTCTGAATGTAATAGACAAAAGCCCTGTGCCAATCACCAGGCCGAAATCTATCCTCCTATGAGCACTGGGATTAACTGGTGTAGACAGCCATTGGCCTTTCTCCAGTTGTGAAGTGCGGGTGAGCAGAGAGTCGGTTTCCTTCACGAAGACTTTAGTTACAGTTAAGACGGTAAGGTCGAGCTCAGCTGTCATGACATAGAAGCGTGACATTGTCTGAGCTGTCATGACAGAGAAGCGTGACATTGTCTGAGCTGTCATGACAGAGAAGCGTGACATTGTCTGAGCTGTCATGACAGAGAAGCGTGACATTGTCTGAGCTGTCATGACAGAGAAGCGTGACATTGTCTGAGCTGTCATGACAGAGAAGCGTGACATTGTCTGAGCTGTCATGACAGAGAAGCGTGACATTGTCTGAGCTGTCATGACAGAGAAGCGTGACATTGTCTGAGCTGTCATGACAGAGAAGCGTGACATTGTCTGAGCTGTCATGACAGAGAAGCGTGACATTGTCTGAGCTGTCATGACAAGACGCGGCTGCGGTGTGCCAAGATTCAAGAAAAGGTACTATCATCTTCCAGTTCTGTGACTCGTTCATGTGAGGAAATCAGTAAGACTATCACGACTCTGGATGGATGTGAAGCAAGAGGTCTCAGGATTCACAGGAGAAATTGACTTGAGAATGGTCCAGGACGGACCGAAACGTCGTCGTCCCTTCACCTTCTAGTGTGTGGTCTGGTCAACAAAATTCACAGGAGACTTTGCTGTCATTGCCTATTACCAAGAGCGAACAATGAACAGCTCATCATAACACTGAACAGCTCACCATATATATATTTTCCTGATGTGAACAAACGTGTGAAAGCAGCAAACAACTCCACTAAATGAAGACCTTCAACAAAATCGCGATATCCCTGAAACCTTCACAAGGAACGAAAACACAACCAGTTGATTGACAGTTGAGAGGCGGGACCAAAGAGCCAGAGCTCAACCCCCGCAAGCACAACTAGGTGAGTACAACCACCTTGTAGCAGTAGTGAAGACTTTCTCTCGCGCTGGAAGATCCACCTCGAGGCTTGAGAAATAGTAGCTAGTGACAGATGAGCCACAATAGAATACGAATAGATGCTAGGATAGATGAGCCACAGGAGGCCACGATTTGCATAAGCCATAGAAACACTCCACCAAAAAAGGCCATAGGTTTGATGGGTTGCTTAGGTCCTATATATATATATATATATATATATATATATATATATATATATATATATATATATATATATATATATATATATATATATATATATATAATATATATGTCGTACCTAGTAGCCAGAACTCACTTCTCAGCCTACTATTCAAGGCCCGATTTGCCTAATAAGCCAAGTTTTCCTGAATTAATATATTTACTATAATTTTTTTCTTATGAAATGATAAAGCAACCCTTTTCTCTATGTATGAGGTCAATTTTTTTTTATTGGAGTTAAAATTAACGTAGATATATGACCGAACCTAACCTATATTTATAGGTTAGGTTAGGTTAGGTAGCCAAAAAAAGCTAGGTTAGGTTAGGTTAGGTAGGTTAGGTAGACGAAAAAACATTAATTCATGAAAACTTGGCTTATTAGGCAAATCGGGCCTTGAATAGTAGGCTGAGAAGTGCGTTCTGGCTATTAGGTACGACATATATATATATATATATATATATATAAACATTTATCAAAGGTCCAATTTAATGTCTGTTGAAAACTTCAGTGCTCCTGTAGACAGAACGAGAATTATCGTTAACATTTAATTTAATGTGAGGCAGAGAGCAGACAAATATTACAACAAGAAAAATCGTATAAATTTGCAGCGTCTCTTCAGCGCGCAGTATCGTAAATTGTCTCTCACAACACAATGGTCCTCGTTATTAGTTCGTAAGTCATCTCGCTCTCAGGTCCACGTCTACGATACTTCCCTGGAAATCGCTGTTTATCATCGGTGTACGAATATGTGCATGCATGCATAAATGCGTGCGCGCGCACACTCACTCACTCTCTCTCACACACACACACACACACACACACACACACACACACACACACACACACACACACACTCACACACTCACACACACACTCACACACACTCACACACACTCACACACACTCACACACACTCACACTCTCACACACTCTCACACACTCTCACACACTCTCACACACATTCACTCACTCACTTACTCACTCTCACACACACACACACACACACACACACACACACACACACACAAGGATCGGTGCTGGGACCAATTCTATTTCTTGTATATGTTAACGACATGTTTACAGGCGTAGAGTCCTACATGTCGATGTTTGCGGATGATGCAAAGTTGATGAGAAGAGTTGTGACAGATGAGGATTGCAGGATCCTCCAAGAGGACCTAAACAGATTGCAGAGATGGTCAGAGAAATGTCTACTAGAATTCAACACGAGCAAATGTAAAGTTATGGAAATGGGACTAGGAGATAGGAGACCAAAGGGACAGTACACAATGAAGGGGAACAGCCTACCTGTAACGACGCGTGAAAGAGACCTGGGGGTGGACGTAACACCTAATCTATCTCCTGAGGCACATATTAATAGGATAACGACAGCAGCGTACTCTACACTGGCAAAAGTTAGAACATCATTCAGAAACCTAAGTAAGGAGGCATTTAGGGCGCTTTACACTGCCTACGTAAGGCCAGTCTTAGAGTATGCCGCCTCATCATGGAGTCCCCATCTGAAGAAGCATATAATGAAACTGGAAAAGATTCAGAGGTTTGCAACGAGACTCGTCCCAGAGCTACGAGGGATGGGGTATGAAGAGCGCCTGAGGGAACTGTGCCTTACGACACTAGAAAGAAGAAGGGAGAGGGGGGACATGATAGGAACGTATAAGATACTCAGAGGAATTGACAGAGTGGACATAGACGAAATGTTCACACGGAATAGTAACAGAACGAGAGGACATGGATGGAAGCTTGAAACTCAGATGAGTCACAGAGATGTTGGGAAGTTTTCTTTTAGCGTGAGAGTAGTGGGGAAATGGAATGCACTTCAGGAACAGGTTGTGGAAGCAAATACTATTCATAATTTTAAAACCAGGTATGATAGGGAAATAGGACAGGAGTCATTGCTGTAAACAACCGATGCTCGAAAGGCGGGATCCAAGAGTCAATGCTCGATCCTGCAGACACAACTAGGTGAGTACACACACACACACACACACACACACAAAGACCTGGGCGTGGACGTAACACCTAATCTAACTCCTGAGGCACATATATATAGGATTAGCAAAAGTTAGAACAAAATAGCAAAAGTTAGAACATCATTCAGAAACCTAAGTAAGGAAGCATTTAGGGCCCTTTACACTGCCTACGTGAGGCCAGTCTTAGAGTATGCCGCACCATCATGGAGTCCCCATCTGAAGATACATATAAGGCAACTGGAAATTCTCAGAAGTTTGTAACGAAACTCGTCCCTGCGTTACGAGGGGTGGGGTATGAAGAGCGCCTGAAAGAACTGAGCCTTACGACACTAGAAAACAGAAGGGAGAGGGGGGATAAGATAGGAACGTATAAAATACTCAGGGGAATTGACAGAGTGGAAATAGACGAAATGTTCACACGGAACAGTAACAGAACGAGGGGACATGGGTGGAAGCTGGAAACTCAGATGAGTCACAGATGTTAGGAAGTTTTCTTTTAGCGTGAGAGTAGTGGGGAAATGGAATGCACTTAAGGAACAGGTTGTGGAAGCAAACTCTCTTCATAATTATAAAACTAGATATGATTGGGAAATAGGACCGGAGTTATTGCTGCAAACAACCGATGGCTAGAAAGGCGGGATCCAAGAGTCAGTGCTCGATCCTGCAGGCACAAATCGGTGAGTACACACACACACACAAGACATGATGCACTACATCACACAGGTGTGTAAGGAGCCAGCAGACCAGTTCGACCCAGTCCAAAAGGAAAAAAATTAATGCAGACAAGAAACCCATGGTTTAATCAGAGATATAAGCTAGCAAAGCAACTAAGTAAAAGGGCGTGGAGAAACTATAGAATATAGGACACTAGAGAGCAGAGAAAGATACCAGAGAGCCAGGAATGAAACGTGAGGGTGAGAAGAGAGGCAGAGAGGCAATATGAAAATGACATAGCGAGAAAGGCAAAGACTCAAGCTAAATTGCTGCACAGCCACATCAGGAGAAAAAAAAACAGTGAAGGAACAGGTAATGAAACTGAGGATAGGGGCAGACAGATTCACTACAAACGACAAGGAAATGTGTGAGGAACTCAATAAAAGATTCCAGGAGGACTTCACAGTAGAGCAAAGTGAAGTCCCAGAGATAAGAGAGGGAATATCTAACCAGACATCACTAGAGGCGTTTGTGATTACCACTGGGGAGATGAGGAAGTATTTGCTAGATTTGGATGTGACAAAGGCTATAAGCCAGGATGTAATCTCACCATAGATACTAAAGGAAGGAGCAGAAGCTCTGTGCCAGTCACTCGCCATTGTGTATAACGAATCACTGGTAACAGGTGAGCTGCCAAAAATTTGGAAAACGACCAATGTAGTCCCAATATACAAGAATGGTGATAGACAGCAGGCACTGAACTGCAGGCCAGTGTCCCTAACTTGCATACCATGCAAGATGATGGAGAAGATTGTGCAAAAAACAGTACTAGTGGAACATCTGGAGCGAAAGAACTTTGTAACACAACATCAACATGGGTTCAGGGAGGACAAATCATGCCTTACAGGATTAATTGAATTCTATGACCAGGCAACACAAATCAGACAAGATAGAGAGGGCTGGGCAGACTGCATATTTTTGGATTGCCAGAAAGCCTTTGACACTGTACCACTTAAGTGCACAAGCTGGAGATGCAGGCAGGAGTGAAAGGGAAGCTACTCGACTGGATAACGGAGTACCTAAGCATAAGAAGACAGTGAGTCACTGTGAGTGGGGAGGTCTCAGAGTGGCGATGCGTCACCAGTGGAGTCCCACAGGGATCAGTCCTTGGACCTATACTTTTTCTGATATATGTAAATGATCTCCCAGAAGGAATAGACTCGTTCCTCTCAATGTTTGCTGATGATGCAAAGATTATGAGGAGGATTAAGAGAGGAAGACAGTATGAGGCTACAAGATGACCTAGACAAACTGAAGGAATGGTGCAACAAATGGCTACTAAAGTTCAACCCAAGTAAATGTAAGATGATGAAATTACTGCTAGGTAACAGGAGCAGCAGGGTGAAAAAAAAACTCTGCCCAACTGTTTCCGCCGGCGCCGGGAATCAAACCCCTGACCACAGGATTACGTATCCAGCGTGCTGTCCGCTTAGCCACCAGCGACACCAGTGTGTGCGCGCGCGCGCGCTCTATTCCATACCTTGTAAGATGTTTATGTTTTCTTAGTGTCATAACCTTCTCTCCTCCACAGTGTTCACCAGCATTTTGAGATCTGTAATTGCGACAGACACGCTAATCGCAACTTTCCTCAGATCGCTGTGAAATATAGTGTTGCAGGGACTGTTGAAGTGGACTTGTGGTGTTGCAGGGACTGTTGATGTTGATTTTTTCTTTATTTTGCAGGTACTGCCTCCACAGTGAGGGTTGTCAGGGGTACAACACCGAGAGACGACGCTGTAACTTCTTCTCCTGTAATGGTACGTCGTCTGTAACTTGTTTAGTGATACACCACTTGTAACTTGTATTGAGGTCCGTGTGACTTGTGGAGTGGTTGGATCCTACGACACTCCTGTTGAGGAACTGTCCTTATACCCTTATACCTCTTATACAATTACACCCTTACCCTTATACCATTACATCCTGACTTCTATTATGGTACTAGCAATACACTTTTATAGTGATTTTAGTCTCTTATATAATGGGACCCTGATGTTTATGTAATGGCACTACCATTATACATCTGTAATGGAATTATCATTACCTTTTTTGTTATTATACTATCCTTATACTTCTGTAACAGTGCTATTCTTATACACCTGTAATGGTATAGCCTTCCTGCTTCTCTCATGATACTGCCTTATACTTCTGTATGAGGGAGTACCATAATCTTTTGCTTCTGTAGTCGTACTACCATGATTCTTCGTCGCTGGTACGACCCCCTCATACTTCTGTAGCTTCTCTGAGTCGTATATATGGTACATGTAACATATGTATTTATAGGGCGTTTGGAGTCATATATTTCTTATGTCACTGTTATGGTTTTAACCTGAGGTGAAGCTGTGTTTTGTGTCCACTTTGTGAAAGATGAATCACTGCGAGTGCCTGAGTCGCTAGCAACCTCTGTAGATAGGTAGATGGCGTATCTGCCGCCTCTAATTGGTACTTAGACTCGCTATTCTTCTCAGGTAATTCCTTTTGGTACACTGTCTACTCCTTCCTATGCTTCGTAATCATCGATTACTCCGATGAGGTGAAAACGCTGCCTTCAGCTGTGGCTCATGTCTCTCTCTCTCTCTCAGGCACGCTGGATGTCCTCCACCTCCACGTCAATGAGGTGAAGACGCTGCCTTCATCTGTGGCTCATGTCTCTCTCTCTCTCTCTCAGGCACGCTGGATGTCCTCCACCTCCACGTCAATGAGGTGAAGACGCTGCCTTCAGCTGTGGCTCATGTCTCTCTCTCTCTCTCTCTCAGGCACGCTGGATGTCCTCCACCTCCACGACAAGCGTTACAAGCCCAACAAGTTCGGATGGCGGGAGTCGAGTACTCGACCCGGTTCATGGCGCGCCGTGAGGAACCGCCCCTTGCTGGTTCACACCAGGGACATCTATCCCGGCGGGTTTCCCAAGGAGTTCTCCCTCCTCATCACCGTCAGGCCAGACCTCGGCAACATGGTGAGTGTGTGGTGAGGGAGGGAGGGAAGTGAGCAATGTTTACTATTGGTAGAGATATGGTGATAGAACGTGCAATCTGTCTTGAATTTCGTCTTCACACTGTGCAAGATTAGCATGATTTTGCACAATTACTAAGTACCTAGTATTAAGTCATTTTAGTACATGTATTTTTTTTGGGGGGTATCTAATGCTGGTAGCACATATATGATACAATAGTATGTTGTACACGTCATTTGGTGTATAAAGTGATAAATACATGCATATGTACACTATGTACTACTAAGTAGTGTCATGGTCAAACACCACCATGTCAATGGTACACTGATAAGATACACAAAAATGGTAACACAGTAATTACAGTGCCCCCCCCCCCCCATCCTCCCCCGCCACCCTCCTGTTGCATGCCCATTAACGGTATACACATAACAATGATACATACTATAACAGAAACTAATTACTATACTCGCCTAGTATTTGTAATCTATTGTTGCGAATAGAATATAACTTCTACATGACTATTAACGACTCATTTTTACATATTCTATTTAATGTTGACTCAATAACACGAAATCCTGCCATGAACTGAGATGGCTTCTGGCTCTTAGCTGATTGCATGGCTTAATATAATGTAGCACAAATGACTGTAGCAGGTGAGGCTCTGGAAGGTTGTTCCAGGCCAGCCTGAGTGACTTGGTCTGGAAGGCCAGCCTGAGTGACTTGGTCTGGAAGGCCAGCCTGAGTGACTTGGTCTGGAAGGCCAGCCTGAGTGACGGGTCTGGAAGGCCAGCCTGAGTGACGGGTCTGGAAGGCCAGCCTGAGTGACGGGTCTGGAAGGCCAGCCTGAGTGACGGGTCTGGAAGGCCAGCCTGAGTGACTTGGTCTGGAAGGCCAACCTGAGTGACTTGGTCTGGAAGGCCAGCCTGAGTGACTTGGTCTGGAAGGCCAGCCTGAGTGACTTGGTCTGGAAGGCCAGCCTGAGTGACGGGTCTGGAAGGCCAGCCTGAGTGACGGGTCTGGAAGGCCAGCCTGAGTGACGGGTCTGGAAGGCCAGCCTGAGTGACTTGGTCTGGAAGGCCAACCTGAGTGACTTGGTCTGGAAGGCCAGCCTGAGTGACTTGGTCTGGAAGGCCAGCCTGAGTGACTTGGTCTGGAAGGCCAGCCTGAGTGACTTGGTCTGGAAGGCCAGCCTGAGTGACTTGGTCTGGAAGGCCAGCCTGAGTGACTTGGTCTGGAAGGCCAGCCTGAGTGACTTGGTCTGGAAGGCCAGCCTGAGTGACTTGGTCTGGAAGGCCAGCCTGAGTGACTTGGTCTGGAAGGCCAGCCTGAGTGACTTGGTCTGGAAGGCCAGCCTGAGTGACTTGGTCTGGAAGGCCAGCCTGAGTGACTTGGTCTGGAAGGCCAGCCTGAGTGACTTGGTCTGGAAGGCCAGCCTGAGTGACTTGGTCTGGAAGGCCAGCCTGAGTGACTTGGTCTGGAAGGCCAGCCTGAGTGACTTGGTCTGGAAGGCCAGCCTGAGTGACTTGGTCTGGAAGGCCAGCCTGAGTGACTTGGTCTGGAAGGCCAGCCTGAGTGACTTGGTCTGGAAGGCCAGCCTGAGTGACTTGGTCTGGAAGGCCAGCCTGAGTGACTTGGTCTGGAAGGCCAGCCTGAGTGACTTGGTCTGGAAGGCCAGCCTGAGTGACTTGGTCTGGAAGGCCAGCCTGAGTGACTTGGTCTGGAAGGCCAGCCTGAGTGACTTGGTCTGGAAGGCCAGCCTGAGTGACTTGGTCTGGAAGGCCAGCCTGAGTGACTTGGTCTGGAAGGCCAGCCTGAGTGACTTGGTCTGGAAGACATATGTCATTTCCATCCAGATATATTCCAGTTTACCTGCACCTGAAGACTGCAAAATGCGCCCGGAAACACACTATATAATTCCGTTGTCTTGGCAAATTAACTGTGGCTGACTGTAGCATCTTGAAACATGTTAATATCGGTTCCCATTAGTTAATTGGTTAACCGGCCCGGCGGTACAGTAAATTTAGTCTTTATTGCAACCAGCTGGAAGTCTAGGCAAGAGACAGTTGACACTAATTGGCTATTTGTGAGCACTGGGCGGTTGATATAGTAAGTTTCTGTAAGTTTGAGTATTAAGTTAGAGTGGAACAGCTACTTAGTCATGTCCGAAGGAATATTGAATATAGTGTTCTGAAACTCATCTTTAAAACTCAAGCGTGGCTGTTGTTGCCTGCGGGTGTCTGTAGTGTCTGTGTCTGTCTGTCTGTCTGTCTGTCTGTCTGTCTGTCTCTGTATGTTTGTCTGTATGTTTGTCTGTATGTCTGCCTGCCTGCCTGCCTGTCTGCCTGCCAGTCTTTTCTGCCTCTCTGCTTCTCTCTCTCTCTCTCTCTCTCTCTCTCTCTCTCTCTCTCTCTCTCTCTCTCTCTCTCTCTCTCTCTCTCTCTCTCTCTCTCTCTCTCTCTCTCTCTCTCTGCCTCAGGTAGGAGGTTCGAGGTTTGGTTTATGAGTTACGTGTTTGTGCTGTTACAACCATAGTATGATAAGAAAATTTGTTGTTAAATTTCCCGAGATAAATGCATAATATTTTATAATACTACAGAACACAAATGTTTTTAACGATTTTGTCGAAAGTATTTCACACAATGGGAACTGGCCCAAGTGCCAGAACCTTGGTGTATCGTTGTTCACTCTTGAATTGTGGTGACCCCTTACCCGACCATGATGGGTGCATACCACATGGAAATCACGGTGCAGTGTTGAGTGAGGCTAGCCTTAAGCTTCGGGCCTCCAATCTCGAGAAAATAGATGTAAAACTTTCTGATTTTGATCGATGACAACAAATATTGCACTGAATCCTTACCAACAATAGTTCATATTATGGAAAATCGATTCACTGGGGTAATTTGATGTTGGTTTAAGCCATAATGAAAATCACTGCTGTTCTATGTTAAAATAACAGAGATCCTTTGATAGCAGTTCCTTTTTGAATTTGGAATTTTTCAATTCCAACCTTTCTAATTCAAAGTCAAAGTTTTTCTAATTTAGTAGTAGATGGGAGGTGATCCGTCGTCATAGATTTAATGCTTGTCAAGTACATTAATAATTGGGTTACCATTTGCAAAATCCTTGATTATTAATTAATAATAATGCTGGTAATTCATTAGCAGTGACAGGCTTTCTCATAAACTTCATTGAAGGGATAATAATTTTGCCTAACACGAGGCCTCGATTATGGTTGAGAATATGCAAGTTTTGGTGATTTTTATGTGTGTGTATATATATGTATGTATGATCACAAAACACTGATCACAAAACACTGATCACAAAACACTGATCACAAAACACTGATCACAAAACACTGATCACAAAACACTGATCCAAGTATGTGAAAAAACCACATTTGAAAAATTAGAGAATGCTGAACGCGTTTTGGCCTGTCATCAGAGCAAGATAGAGAAACACTCAACTATCTTCACTGCTTCTATGACCACCAGTGTGTTGCTATTACTACACTTGGGCTATTGCTGCAACTACTTGCAGAAACTATTATGTCTACATCATTTGCTGCTAACAATTCTACAATGCTACCAATTCTACTTCTGTAGCTACTATGGTAACTACTACTTCTACTACTTCTACTACTACTACACTACCACTACTATTATCACTAAGACTATAACTACGAATGCCATTTCTCCTAATAATAATCTTAAAAAGTCAATGATTATAATAAAAATTATTATAATGATAAGGATACTAAAAATAATAATAATAATAATAATAATAATAATAATAATAAGAAGAAGATGGGGCATCAAAAATCTCCGGTCTCCCTTCAGCCTCTCTGACAATCATTAAAATTATTTTTTTCAGAATTCATTCTTTTTTTTCTTTTTCCAGTGAGTGCAGCTTCCTCGTATTTCGAACCTTGTTAGTGTGTTTTTCCACGCGATTCTGTGTCAGTGTGTATTTACTATTTGTATCTGCAGAATCGAGCTATTAGCTCTTGGACCCCGCCTTTCTAACCAATTTATTTTCCCTCTATTATGTCAACTACGTATATTTCTCTTTCACATATTTAAATTCCCAGGAGCCCGTAACAGCTGTCTAACTTCCAGGTACCTTTTTACTGCTAGGTGAACAGGGGCACCAGGGTGAAAGAAACTGCCCATTTGTTTCTACCTCTGCTGGGGATTGTACTCACCTAGTTGTACTCACCTAGTTGTGTCTGCAGGATCGAGCATTGACTCTTGGATCCCGCCTTTCGAGCATCGGTTGTTTACAGCAATGACTCCTGTCCTATTTCCCTATCATACCTGATTTTAAAATTATGAATAGTATTTGCTTCCACAACCTGTTCCTGAAGTGCATTCCATTTCCCCACTACTCTCACGCTAAAAGAAAACTTCCTAACATCTCTGTGACTCATCTGATTTTCAAGCTTCCATCCATGTCCTCTCGTTCTGTTACTATTCCGTGTGAACATTTCGTCTATGTCCACTCTGTCAATTCCTCTGAGTATCTTATACGTTCCTATCATGTCCCCCCTCTCCCTTCTTCTTTCTAGTGTCGTAAGGCACAGTTCCCTCAGGCGCTCTTCATACCCCATCCCTCGTAGCTCTGGGACGAGTCTCGTTGCAAACCTCTGAACCTTTTCCAGTTTCATTATATGCTTCTTCAGATGGGGACTCCATGATGAGGCGGCATACTCTAAGACTGGCCTTACGTAGGCAGTGTAAAGCGCCCTAAATGCCTCCTTACTTAGGTTTCTGAATGATGTTCTAACTTTTGCCAGTGTAGAGTACGCTGCTGTCGTTATCCTATTAATATGTGCCTCAGGAGATAGATTAGGTGTTACGTCCACCCCAGGTCTCTTTCACGCGTCGTTACAGGTAGGCTGTTCCCCTTCATTGTGTACTGTCCCTTTGGTCTCCTATCTCCTAGTCCCATTTCCATAACTTTACATTTGCTCGTGTTGAATTCTAGTAGCCATTTCTCTGACCATCTCTGCAATGTGTGTGTGTGTGTGTGTGTGTGTGTGTGTGTGTGTGTGTGTACACGAAAGGGACTTAAAGATATTCCAATAACACGTCTTGGGTCGTTATACGGGTTCTGAACCCGTATCATTACCGCGAGCTTGGCTCACTCTCCCTTTGATTCTTGGCTTCTGATCCTCTCTTGTTTGTCTCAGAGTCTCTGCGAAAAAAAAAATTTCATTACTATAATTTTTTTTGGCTGAGAATTCTGTTACTAATTTATATTCTTTGCTTGAATTGTCTTTTGTGCTTTGATTCTTTGCTTGAATTGTCTTTTGTGTTTTGATTATTTGTTTGAATTGTCTTTGCTTTGATTCTTTGCTTGAATTGTCTCTTGTGCTTTGATTCTTTGCTTGAATTGTCTCTTGTGCTTTGATTCTTTGCTTGAATTGTCCCTTGTGCTTTGATTCTTTGCTTGAATTGTTTCTTGTGCTTTGATTCTTTGCTTGAATTGTCTTGTGCTTTGATTCTTTGCTTGAATTGTCTCTTGTGCTTTGATTCTTTGCTTGAATTGTCTCTTGTGCTTTGATTCTTTGCTTGAATTGTCTCTTGTGCTTTGATTCTTTGCTTGAATTGTCTCTTGTGCTTTGATTCTTTGCTTGAATTGTCTCTTGTGTTTTGATTCCTTGCTTGAATTGTTTCTTGTGCTTTGATTCCTTGCTTGAATTGTTTCTTGTGCTTTGATTCTTTGCTTGAATTGTCTCTTGCGCTTTGACTCTTTGCTTGAATTGTCTCTTGTGCTTTGATTCTTTGCTTGAATTGTCTCTTGTGCTTTGATTCTTTGCTTGAATTGTCTCTTGTGCTTTGATTCTTTGCTTGAATTGTCTCTTGTGTTTTGATTCCTTGCTTGAATTTACTGTCCACCGCTTTCATATTTAGGTTCAAAGTGTTGTGATTCACTGAAAGATAGTCTTTTATACTGGACTAGTTCATAGAATTTGTTCAAATCTAGATCTTATGTATTTTCTTAATTGTTAATCATCGTCTTGTTTCATTTTTTTAGTCAAATTTTGATAATACGATGAAGAGGCATACAAGAAAAAGTAGAAATACTTGAATAGAATAAGTAGGAGGGAGGGAATTATCAGGGGGAAAGCGCCAAGCCATTACGACTATATAGCACTGGGAAGGGGTCAGGATCAGGATTTGGGATGGGACGGGTGGGGGGGGGGGAGAGGAATGGTGCCCAACCATTTGGACGGTCGGGGATTGAAGGCCAACCTGCATGAAGCGAAACCGTACCGCTCTTCCGTCCTGCCCAAGTGGGTGGACAGAGGAAGCAGGGGATGGAGTAATCAAGTGTGGGTGTCAGGACGTGTTTGGGGTAATATTTTGATTGGTCGAAACAAAGGTAATCAAGATAATCAAGATGTGTGTATTTACAAATAATCAAGATGTGTGTATTTACAAATAATCAAGATGTGTGTAATTATTCCCTGTTTAATATATCCCCATTTTTTCAACCTGTCTTTCTCTGTCTTTATCTTTATTTGTCTCTGATTCTCTCACATTTTTATCTCTACCTCTCTCTGATTATCTCACATTTTTATCTCTACCTCTCTCTGATTATCTCACATATTTATCTCTACCTCTCTCTGATTATCTCATTTTATCTCTACCTCTCTCTGTTTATCTCTCATTTTATCTCTACCTCTCTCTGATTATCTCACATTTTATCTCTACCTCTCTCTAATTCTGTCACATTTTATCTCTACCTGTCTCTGATTATCTCATATTTTATCTCTACCTGTCTCTTATTATTTCTCATTTTATCTCTACCTGTCTCTGATTATCTCTCATTTTATCTCTACCTGTCTCTAATTCTCTCACATATTTTATCTCTACCTGTCTCTGATTATCTCTCATTTCATCTCTACCTGTCTCTGATTATCTCTCATTTTATCTCTACCTCTCTCTGATTATCTCTCATTTTATCTCTACCTCTCTCTAATTCTGTCACATTTTATCTCTACCTGTCTCTTATTATTTCTCATTTTATCTCTACCTGTCTCTGATTATCTCTCATTTTATCTCTACCTGTCTCTGATTATCTCTCATTTTATCTCTACCTCTCTCTGATTATCTCTCATTTTATCTCTACATCTCTCTGATTCTCTGACATTTTATCTCTACCTGTCGCAACTGGTCTGTCTACCAGTCTGTCCCTGGCCCCCGTAGACTCATCTCCCCGTAGACTCATCTCCCCGTAGACTCATCTCCCCGTAGACTCATCTCCCCGTAGACTCATCTCCCCGTGGCCCCACAGGGTATGTTGTTCATCATGCACCGGGCGTACGGGGGCGAGGTGTACCTGGGACTGGGCTTGGGCACCGGGCTGGAGCTTCTCCACACGGGACCCACCAGGGAGGATGACGTCCTCCCCATCAACGTCGCCCCCATCAATGTCAACCTCACGGATGGCCACTGGCACCAGCTGGCGATCAGGTGAGATGATGGGGCGTTTGGCGGGTCGGTAAGGGTGGTGGGGGAAGGGGTTAGTGGGATTAGGAGAGAGAGAGACAGGCAGACAGACAGACAGAAGGAGAGAGAGAGAGAGACAGACAGGCAGGCAGGCAGACAGACAGAAGGAGAGAGAGAGACAGAGACAGGCAGGCAGGCAGGCAGACAGACAGAAGGAGAGAGAGAGACAGAGACAGGCAGGCAGACAGACAGAAGGAGAGAGAGAGACAGAGACAGGCAGGTAGGCAGACAGACAGAGAGAGAGAGAGAGAGAGAGAGAGAGAGAGAGAGAGAGAGAGAGAGAGAGAGAGAGAGAGAGAGAGAGGCAGGCAGGCAGGCAGACAGAAGAAGAGAGACAGGCAGGCAGGCAGATAGACAGAAGGAGAGAGAGAGAGAGAGAGAGAGACAGGCAGGCAGGCAGGCAGACAGACAGACAGAAGAAGAGAGAGATACAGAGACAGGCAGGTAGACAGACAGACAGAAGGAGAGAGTGAGAAAAAAAATGAGGAACAGGAGAGAGAGAAGAGTAAATGGTAACATGAAAACATTGCGAGGATCAACTCAGACAAATCAGGAAAGTGGGAATAAAAATATTGAACTGTGTTGGTTAGTTCGGAAAATAAATCTTCCGACTATTGAATGTGTTGATATTTTCCATTGTAGAGAAGCTTTACCCAAGACGCCCTCTGCTAGCCTCTACAGGATTATTAAGTAACAATTCTTCCATTCTACTCCCAGAAAACATGTCAATAAATATATATGTAATAGACTCTCGTTGTCATCTTGCGAAAACACCACTCAGCATTCCAAATGCAAAGTCACACTGCATATTCACAATGACATTGCAAATTAAAGGTCATGCTATATCCATGATCAAATTGCAAATGCAAGGTCAAATTGCAAATGAAAAATGATCTGATCGTCACATCCGGTGCCACTGCAGGAAGGGCTATCAAAATAATGACAGGTGTGTGAATGGACAACATTCAGAGCTCGCTGGACACAAAAGCCAAGTCATTTAAATTGGGGGAAAATCATATTTTCTGTTTGGCGCTCAAAACACTGGGAGGTCATTGATGGAGTATTTCCATTGGTCGTAAAACGCTATAAACTCATCTGATAGCCGAAACAATTAAAAAGTTTGTATATCTATACAAAAATTATACCAAAAAATTGGTAGAGACAGAATGATAATGACACCTAGGATTGTGTGATTGATGATTCGTGATTACTGGAATGATGATGATAAAGGCGTTGTTGATATTAACAGTAAGTCGAATAGTGCCATTGATGTGTTGCTGGAGCCAGTGGTGGAACCCACTGATGTGTTGCTGGAGCCAGTGGTGGAACCCACTGATGTGTTGCTGGAGCCAGTGGTGGAACCCACTGATGTGTTGCTGGAGCCAGTGGTGGAACCCACTGATGTGTTGCTGGAGCCAGTAGTGGAACCCACTGATGTGTTGCTGGAGGCAGTGGTGGAACCCACTGATGTGTTGCTGGAGCCAGTGGTGGAACCCACTGATGTGTTGCTGGAGCCAGTGGTGGAACCCACTGATGTGTTGCTGGAGCCAGTGGTGGAACCCACTGATGTGTTACTGGAGCCAGTGGTGGAACCCACTGATGTGTTGCTGGAGCCAGTGGTGGAACCCACTGATGTGTTGCTGGAGCCAGTGGTGGAACCCACTGATGTGTTGCTGGAGCCAGTGGTGGAACCCACTGATGTGTTGCTGGAGCCAGTGGTGGAACCCACTGATGTGTGGCTGGAGCCAGTGGTGGAAC